AATTCATCAAGAGGAATATGAATTTTTTTTACCTCCCTGTGTGAACAATCAGAAATATTGTAAACGATATTATGTCAAGTATTATTTGAAATTTTAATATTATCATCATTGTTACCGAGCAAACATAAGAAATAAGTTTAATTTGAGATTTTAATTTAGTCTTTTTTATTTTTATTATCATTCAATTTTTTTTATTGATTCTATATGTTTGCTAAAAAAAATAAGAATTGTTAATATAATCTTGATACTTAAAAATTCACCTTCAATGGAAATCGGTAAAACATAAAGATCATGTTGGTAATATTGAAAATTTTAATTCTGGTTAAATGTAAGTGTTGATAAACATCTTTTAACTTCAAATGCAAAATTGCGTTTACATTATTGAATAATTTCTAACTATTTATAAAAAATCTGATTATAAAGAGTAAAATTATTTAATTTGGTAAACCTATAATAAATGTGGAGGAACTATATTTAATTTGAGATATGTTTTTAAACATTTGATACAGATTCTAAATTACACTTAATTTTACAAGATTGCATTGATTTCTTAATAAATTACAAATCTTTGTTCCAAAATTGTTTCTAATAAAAGAAAAGATAGATCTCATAAAAGGAGAACAATTTGAATCAATAACGCTTCATTTCGCTCGCGTATATTAAATAAATAATAATTATAAGTCTTAATAAAAACAAATTAATAATAATAGTAAAGTAGAAGAGCTATCAGCCAAACAATAAATTTTTTGATCAAATATTTGATCAAAAACAGTACAAATATTCGATCAAAAACAGACATATATTTCGACACCGATCAATTGTCAGTATCAATGTTAAAATAAATTAGAATTTGAATTGTGACATAAATTAACGATTATGTGTAAAATATTACATAAGTAGCATATTATTATTTATTTATGGTTCAATAAAATTATTTTCAAATATGTATCTAGCTTTAGATATTTCAACAAAACCGTTCTTTGCGTGCGATACCAAAGACTCTTGGTTATTTAAAATAAGGGGACTAAAGGATTGGCATTTTCAATGGCGTCGCGAGGCTGAAAGATGAATTGCGAATTCCCGAATCGAGATTTCTTTTGCAGTGAGTCTCATGTTTCAGAGGGTAGAAAGAGAATATCTGGAATAGGAAAGACAGCAAGTTTTGTTTAGAACCATCGGCCATGTATCGTCGCAAAATGGACGTGTATGAGTATGCGCGCGCAACGCGCACCAGGTGATCGTCGGTGATGACGATACTTTTAGCCTAGTGGGCAGCTAGTTGAGGGGTGATTTTATCGACCAGGATACGCGAATCTCGAAAAGGTTCAGTAGTCGCAGGAACTCCACCCCGTCAAAACAGCTTTTAGTAAGCGTTTCATGCGCGAACGCTTCTACGATTACTTCGTTTCTTCTCCTCTTTCTCCTTTTTCTTTTTCTTCGTTCTTCTTTCGATCTTTTCAGTATTATTTTCCAGCTTTGCTTCTTCCTTTCCTTTCCGTTTCCGCGGAATATCTTGTGACGGCCGCAACAGAAATACGACGCGAGCAGAAGAGGTGCCATATTCTCACATACGAGCAATCCTAGATTCAGCTGCACGAAGTAAGTAAAACACAACACAAAAAAAATACGAAAAAATAGATTTTATTTTTTATGTGTAAATATTACATGTAAATATTTCTGGAATATATTTCATATTTGAGATGTTGCTTATTCGATACAGTTATCAACTTTTTCAAGTTGACTCCTACAACATGAACGTACCGAAAGATAAATACGTCATAGTACGTGTCTTCTTCGAATTACGTTATTGCAATTCTTTTTTTGATTTCATATCTATAATTCGAGCTCTAATCGATGTAAGATAACATTTACGAGAAAGTATTCAGATGAGGGTTATTTTTTCAGGAATAAATATGAAGCAAAGAATATTCGGATATAAATATATAAATATATAAATATATAAATATATAAATTATAAATTCGATGCATTTCTCTTTCTCTTATGTCTAATGTTGTATTTAACATCGGATTACATTTATTAGTTATAAGATTTAGTGCAGAATTTTAGTTTGGATTTAGAAGACGCTATATACTATTATACATGTTTAGAGAGGACTCGATATAGAACATCTGATTCGGCGCTTATCAATGAAGCATGAAATTTTCCCTTGGAGTATGATCAATGATTGAGTATGATCAATGGTGATCCATTTGTCGATTTTCCGAAATTTTAGTGGAACATGTGCGACGTCGTTCACGTTTGACTTAAGATAGAAAAGACAGAAGAAATAAAAATATCGAATACAATAAAAATAAAAATCAAGAAAATCAAGAATTCTTTATGCAAGAATTCATTGTATCTTAAACCGAATTGGGCGCGAAATACAGATTATACATCATATCACCAAACGCACGGGATGCATCCAAGTGATATATAGCATTTATCATCTGTCACGTTCGCGATAGTCGACAAATATTGATACATTCGCTGAAAGCTTACATTTCCTCTCTTGAGTCCAGCGTTGTCAATGTTATAACGAAATCGCGATAGGAATATACACGAGGCGTCCATATGGCGTGCAGTAACCTCGATTATCGGAAACTGTTACAGCTATACTTTTCTGGAGCGCAACCAAATGGAATATCAATGACGAACCAGCGTTACAAGCCCAAGGCAAGCGGCGACGAGTCAATGCACGAGGAATCGATGCTATAAATTCATTCTTCATTCCCTTCTTTTCTTTGCCTCTCCATTTTTTGGAGAGCTCAATCGATTGATTAAACGTCACTAAAATGAAATATTATCGCAATCATAAAAATTGTTGTCGCGGGAAGTGAACATGTTGTTTTTCTGAATTTATACATTCAAAATAGCAGTGGCAATCATAAAGGTGACAACTGCTTATGTAAGTTTCATATGTAAAATTAATATAGGTACATAGTTGAAATAATACACATAGCTGAATAAACAGGGATTTTATATATAAATGCAAATAATATTAATTATTTATTATATATAAATAAAAAATTGATTATTCAACTATATTAATTCTACATAAAAAACTTATATAGTTATCATCTTTATAGTTGCTACTACTATATCTTATTCTTTGAATGTATTTGAAATAAAATCGCCCTACTTCGGCCATTGTCTAACATAGAACCAGTCCGCAAATTGGTATCGTCCAATGTGAACCACATCGACGTTGCATGGAAATTTATATTAAGTTAAATCTTGAAAATATCCTGAATCCCTTTTTAAAAAAAAAGTTCAAAGAAAGGAAAAATACACGTAAATTTGTATGAAATCAAGTAATATATAGATATGGAATGAAATCAAGCGATATATGGATTTATAAAGTTATGTTGGATATCCTTTTCTCCTCTCGCTCGCTATCTCTTTAAAAGTCTGGCAGAAATCCAGATTATGAGATAGTGGTAATATTAGTTGCACATTTGAGAGCGTCTAATCTATAACTCGGCCTACTGTATACGACGCACGTGGAGCTGCAACCATGACATCAGAGGAATCAGGCCATCGTTCCACTTTGCGCCATTCTAAAGCGATAACGGTCGTATCTGACTATTTTGTGCGCGTACACCGCACCGTGCATGATTTAGAATATTCACAAAATTGAGAGATCCTTCTGTTCGACCTTCGATACTTTGAATGGCAACACAGTGAAATTAAAATCATTTAAATCTCTACAAAGTGATGAGATGGCATAAAAAGATGTGTTTATCTATTTATCTGTTTATTCTCGCGTTGTCTATGAACACATATGCGAAATTATACTTATCATAAGCGTCAATGAGAACTAATATATCTCTTGGATTATGAAAGAAACGAGAGAGAGAGAGAGAGAGAGAGAGAGAGAGAGAGAGACTTTGTCATGCGTTTTTTAGCGGTTATACATCTGTATTCGATCCGTGCTTCGGTTATTCAATAATCGAGGTACAAAGGCCATCGCCCCTCTCGAGAACATATCTAGGTCACTACTAACCACGTTTGCCTGCAGTAATCGCTATCGTCATTCGACTACCAAAGCAATCCTTGCACTCACGGAAACGACTGCATAATATTTCAAGCATCAATTTCTCGATACAAAAAACCATTCAAGTCGCACATCCCCTAAAATTTGAACTCTATCTCGATTTTGTGTGTGTGTGTGTGTGTGTGTGTGTGTGTGTGTGTGTGTGTGTGTGTGTGTGTGTGTGTATACATGAAAAGGTTTTTTCAAGTGTTCAAAAATTTAACTAGATACATGTACACAGATCAGAAAATAATTTTGTTAGATCATCAAAATAATTATGTAGGATGCTCAAACTGGTTGCTAGTGTCAAGGCTTTTTGCAGCATTTCTCATCATATTTGAGATTCCTACGTGGCTACTTTGATGATTTAATAAAATTATGCAGATCTATGAATGTTTTCCAATTACTGGATACATTTTAACACAAACATAGAGAAGAACAAGAATGTTCAAAGTATAACAATGTACATGATCAATTGGAATATATATGTTGAACACGATTTCATAAGAGGAGTGTTTGGGGAGACTATTAAATAAGCTATTGTGCCATTCTATCTTCATCGTTTATTAGTCGTTTATTAAAATAGAGATAAAATGACAAATAGTGTTAATCTTCTCTTCTATTAGCATCTCTTCAAACGCACCTTAAATATTGCTTTGTCCGCCTGTATTGGGATGTGATCAAGTTACCACTACGAATGTTTTGATTAACCAATTGAAAGAAAGAATTTTACTAATTGATCCATCAAAAAATATTTTGAAGCATTCGTAGGCAACTCAACTTTTAAACGAAAAAATAGCAAAACGCTACTCTATGCCGGTTACTTTATGCTCTTCAATCTATTTATAGCCACTGTGATTAGTTGACATATAATTGTTACTAGAAAACACAAGCTTACACAACTGATTAGTAGTTCTCGTGCTGAGTACATATGTAATTCCGGCAAATACGTCACGCTAGGATTTATGTCGCAGAAGTCAGAAAAAATAGAAAAAGTAATTTTCTTGCAATTACTCTCTCTCTCTGTTACATGCCTTTATGTTATATTAGTGTAGTGTTATGATTTCAACTTCTTACTGTTAATATTAATGAAATTATTGTGAATTGAATCGATTTGTCATTGTAATAAGTAACACCATCATAAATTATTATCTACATAAAATGATTACTGTAGGACGTATAAAAGATTTAGTGGTTATTTCGTGATACATACGTGTGGAATAGTAAAGCATGTTGTGTAACAAAATACAAGTGCTTTGCTTTCGTATTCTTTGTTTAGTTTGTTGTCTTGTGTACCCCACCTGTTTGAGATATATGGCATTTTTAGCAGGATTATGCCCAAAGCATACAAAGTGCGTAGATTGAATTCAGTGCACTAAATGCAATAAACATTATATGAAACATATATCTCATGTCATAACACTTGTAATATATGTAGAAAGATTGTAATTATTATTTATTACTTTGTATACACATTCATCATTCTTATTCCTTAATAAAATTTTATAAACGTTTTATAAATTATTATTATTATACGTTTTATATGCATTATTTGTAAATTTTTCATGAGCCGTACATACCTTTCTTCCCTTTATAAGTAGCCATATATCCTATCTGTATGGGATATACGACAAAAATGCAAGGATTTCAAAAAATTTATTTTTTAATATAATATGAAAAATATTTCGGTTTCCTAATATTTTTTTCATAATAGTAGACAGTACAAAGTTTTATTGATATAGTTCGTTATTTTAAACATAGTAAATAATACTTAATAAATTAAATTTTTGATATGTGCGGCATATATACCGGAGTTACCTTATAATGTTGCGATGGTGGAACGCAACTTGTGTCACTTGGTACACGAAAGTGTCTAGATTTTGGAAAGCTATTTAGAGTTTTAGAAAAATTTTTAATGATAATTTTGGAATTTGTAAATATTTTAGAAAAATTGCATTCTTTCTATGTATAAATACTCTGTATACATATATTGCAGTAACATATACAGGATAGAGTATTACAAGCTCCTTAAGGAAACATTTTGATATATCTAGCATACTGAAGAAAAAATCTTTTGCATACCATTTATAATAGATTTGTTGATGTTTTATATATTTTATCGAAATTGATTATTTTCATGTAAATGTTGAAATAGTGCTCTTATTATTCGCTCATATTAACCTTCTGATTATAGGATAATATGAATTTCCTTAGGGGTAATATGAACACAGGAAATTTTTTTGTAAGAAATTATGCAGAAATAAAAAATTTATATATATATAAAGATTTATATATACACACACACACATACACACACACACACACACACACACACACACAAGGTATATCAAAAGTTTGGAAACTGTCGAATATCTTGAAAGCAAAGCATTTTTGAGAAAAATGTTTCAGACAAAAGTTATAGAATTTATAAATGTCTATTCATTGATGACATCCGCTTGACCTTGCATAGTGGCACCAAGATCAGATCAAGATCAAATTTTTTAAACGGAACACTTCATTTTTGTGCCAAAATCTAATAGTTGGTCAAGAGTTTCCAAAAACACTACAATTATTTTTTATTTATTAAATACTTTTTGAGTTATAAGACTTGAAAGTTACAATATCGCTGGCATAACACGAAAAAAGTACTTAATAAAAAATAGCTTTATTATAGTGTTTTTTGAAGCTCTTGACATCAGCTATTAGATTCTGGTATCAAAAATAAGATGCTTTATTTAAAAAAATCAATTTGATCTTGATCTGATCTTGGCGACCCAATCAAGCAGATAGGATCAATGAATAGATCTTTTTAAGTCCTATAACTTTTGTCTGAAACATTTTTTTCAAAAATGTACCTCTGTGTGTGTGTGTGTGTGTGTGTGTGCGTGTTTGTGTGTGTGTGTGTGTGTGTACACATATGCAGAGTGTGTACATCCTTAATGAATGATTTTTTGGAAAACATGACATCTTGTCCTATAGTCTTCGATATTGTTTATACTCCGCAAAAGGTTGTTCTTTGGGAAAAAAATATAATGACCCATATTTTTTTGTGTTTCTTTAAAACAAATTGTTTAGTCGTGGTACTATTTGCAATTACTCGACATTTTGAAAACATCAATTTTATCAGGTTTTTTCTCCCATGTAAATATTTAAAAAAATATCACCATAACAATTTCTTTAGAAAAATTATCTACTTTTTAATAAAAATAGTCTCGATTGTTTTAAATTTTATAAAAGCAGTGAAAATCTAATTTATTATAAATTTTCGAAAAAAACGCATTTTTTTCATAATCTTAGGCATTTATATTGAAATTAATATTTTTTTTGGAAAGATAATTTTTTACATAAGAAACCATTTCATTTAAATTGGGAACCAATTTAGTTCAATTGCAATAAAATAATTTAGTAAATCAAGAACAGTAAAAAAATGTTTGATATAGGATAGAGTTGGTTAAATCGTACCGACGATTAAATTGTATCTCCTTGTACTTTCTGAACAAAACATTTTTCTTTTTTTTTTAGAGATGACACTAATGTGACGCTAATAATATTCCAAGTAGAATAAAAACTGAAAAATATTGAAAAAATTTTTTCCATAACGTTGAGTAAACGTTTTTAATATATAATATTATAAGTATCTGTATAAGAAACATTAGAAATAACGATTAATTAAATATTTATGAAACCGATATAAAAACTAATATAAAACGTTTTTTTTTTTAACTGCAAAAGAATCATTTTAAAACATTTATCTACAAGTTTAGCTAACGTTTTTACAACATTTATATAACCCATTTTTATAACAGGTCCCGGACGTTCACTGAAAAAAATGCATATAATTTGATATGGAAGTTACATATAGGGGAGACCGGAACAAGTTGTTTCATGAGGTAAGTTGTTAAAGTTCATTTTTTTAGTTGTCAAGTGGCAGCACATTTTTATGAATTTTCATATTTGATTTTTATAATACAATTTCATTTAGTTTAGCCGCCATATTTGAACTTTAGACTTTTAAGCATATTTTCTTGATTTTCACTAGAAGTAAATATTTCATTGTATAAATCGCTTGTGTTATTGTATAGGGTGCGTCACCAAAATTCAAACAAATTTCAATTTCAATTTTCCACTATATTGTGCCTCCGCCAGAGGTTAGCATCCGAAAAAACCTGATGTTTTAGTAAACAATCATATTCTCAAAATGACCGCGATGTTGAACCAAGCGGAGTATAATCGAAGACTCGCGATCATCGAAGGCTTTCGCTGGGCGCTCAGTAATGGAAATAATTCAGTTCTTTGGATATCCGAGATCAATCATTTATGATGTTGTGGCAAAATATACGACTTTAGAACAGTCCAACAAGGTTCCAATATGCCAGCGAAGAAAGATAGTCACTCGAAAGAATGCAGCGCGAGGATCCCAGCAGTCGATGAAAGGGCTTTCGGATGACCCAAGGCAATTGTTGCGCGTTCTGATGGATGTAGTGAAGCTGTGAATGGAAATTGTGGCGTCCAGAAAGCCATATGTTTTACAGCAGGACGGTGCACCGGCTCATACGAGTTATTTGATTCAAAATTGGTTCTCAGACAACATCGATATGTTTTAGTCCAAGGAATTCTGGCCTTCCAACAGCCCAGATTTAAATCCCTTGGACTACTATGTGTGAAGCGTAATTGAAAAAGTCACAAACAAGTTTCGGTATCCCAATGTGACGTCATTAAGGATCGCTATTGAGGCAGCATTCATTGGCATGAACAGCGCTATATCACAGTGCGTGCAAACGCTTCAGATCGAGAATGGAGGCCATCATTCAAGCTAATGAGGGATATATCGAATAATTGTGCTCTACAGGGATCCCCCAAGTGCCATATAAAAGAATTTTTTATAATATTTAATTTTTCATTAAAAATATTTTATTTAAAGAAATTGTTCGATTTGTCCGAATTTTGGTAACGCCCTGTATGTAAGTTAAAGTTAGAGATACGTGATTATCTTTTTGTATATTTCTTTTACATACATTTGATTATAATAATATTTTATTTGAATTGATATATGTACTGATTTTTTATTTGTATTTTTTCGAATTGAAAATGGATGATTGGGGCAAGTTGTTATACTTTGATCGGGACAAGTTGTTACAGTATAACAACTTACCTCATTGAAAATAATTTTTTTCTACAGAATGATGCACAGACTTATATAAATAGATTGTCTACTTCGTCTCCATGTTTGAAAAACATAACGCCGGGCAGCGCCATATTTATGTTCAGTCCACTCTCACATATATAAATCACACAGATAATTAGTGTTTTTACATAAATTTATACAATGTCACAGACAGTACGCATACATACACTATGTGAACTGAAACGAGAACAGTTCAGAATTAGGTTTATCTCTTTCTATCTATTGAGTCAGCAGTCTAGTTATAAAAGTGGAATAGTACAATCTTACAAAAAAAAAAAACAGAGGCTCTATAAATATATGCAACACCGATAAAGGCAGTTAAAAATGCCACCTATCTGAAAAAAAAGCAGCAATGTATGTAATATTAATTTTATGAATATTTAAGAATTTTGAGCACGATCGTATACGTGAATACATCAAATACGATAAAGAAAGCCATAATTGGTCAAAATTTGATATTTTTTTTAAACAATACATTATATATGCTTATATTGAATTAATTTATTTCAGATATGATTGCGAGCCGATAACTTTCGGTTTCAACACAATCATTCTGAAACGCTAATAATCTTCCCTAAATTAAATTAAAAAGAAAGAAAATAAATAAGAAACTTATTGCAAAAAATATTACCTCAGCCAGGATTTGAACCTGGGACCTCTCAACTTTCCGGGAAGAGTAGGTAGCTCGAAAAAGGAGATACACGAAAGAGGTCACATTGAAAAACGATGCTATAAAAACTAAATGAATATTCGAAACAAGAAGAGAACCAATAGCTCGACAAAAGACAACGGCACAGAAGATTTCGGTGCCTTTACAGCGTTCAACTCTGAATTTATCACGCATATTACAAGATTACGATTCAAAAGAGATATGGATTCTAAACAGCAGTGCTTCAAAGCATATGTTTCCGTTGCGAGTGGTTTAGAGAATTAGACGAGAATTATTGCGAATTCATAAGTGGAGATTCAACGTGCGAAGTAAAAGGACGTGGTACAATCGGTATTGCACATCGGTGATAAGTGATTTAATGATGTATTATTTGTCCTTGCGTAAAAATTTTTTTTCAATCGGTGTTTGCATCTTACATTTTAAAATTCGAATCAAATAATGTAAGAATTTACCGTGCTAACTCGATCATGGTTTGTGGAATCAAATGTAATAATAACCTGTTTTGTTTGTTAGTGATCGTGACGAAATAAACGCAGCCTCAATAAATAGCTTAAAAACATGATACGAATGTCTAGTGCACATAAATTATCGATCACGTCGCGAAATAGTAGAGAAAGACATAATCATTGGCGTTTCATTATCCGACAGTGATAAATTTTTCTATGAAAACTGACAATTTAGTAAACACCATCGTTTATCCTTTAGATCTAAAGAAAAAGATTGTCATGATAGAAAAATAGAATTTATTCATATTGACGTATGCGGTCCGATGTCTCAGGAATCCGTCGGAGACTCAAAATATTTCTTGCTCTTCAAGGATAATAAGTTAAGTTTATGTTTATTTTTTAAAGCACAAGAGCGAGATTTTTAATAAGTTTAAAGAATTCGATCTAGTTTTTAATAAATTTGGGATGTGGATAAAGACAGTTAGAGTTGACAATGGCATTAAATTCTGTAACAAAATGATGGTAGACTACTTTGCTCGTCACAGAGTTACTTTGCTCGCCTTCCTCGATATCCGCATCATATACTTATGAACAAAATGATCATTCAGAGAGGGAAATAAAAATGATTGTAGAATATCCTCGTATGATGCTACTCGCTAAGAAATTCCCCTTTACTCGCTAAGAAATGCGCCTTTGGGGTGAGGCTGTAAACACAGCTGTGTACGTGTTAAATCACTGTATTTCCTCGCAATCCCGCAACATTACTCCTTTCGAGTTATAGCATAATAAGAAATCCGATGTGTTACATACATGAAAATTCGATAGCGATGCGTTCATGCATATAGAAAGAGAAAGAAATGGGATCCTAAATCAAAGAAACTCATTCTAGTGAGATCAAAACTAATCAACAATTAATTGTTGACTTTACGATTCGTTTGCAAAGCCATAGAAACATAATAATCAACTTATTATCAGATCTCTGATAATAAATTAGATAAAGAATCAGATACAATATCTATTAAAGCTAGCAGCTCCTAATGAAAAGTTCCCAAATCTCTTGATAATGTACAAAAGAATTTGTTAAAACTGGACCAAACAGGAAATTTAGAACAAGCAGAGCATGCTAACGCGTATACAAGGTGCGTCAAAATCCGGACAAATTTCAATTTAAATTTTTCGCTATATTGTTCCTCCGCCAGAGATTGTTGTTGGCATCTGAGAAAACCTGATGCTTCTAGTAAAGTCATATTCTTAAAATGGTCGTGATGTTGAAATCAAGTGTGGAATATAATCGACCTGCGATCATTTGCGCTCACCAACGGAAATAATTCGGTTTTTTGAATATCCAAGATTAACCGTTTACCACATTGTGATAAAATATACGTATTTAGAACAGTCCAACGAAGGTTCCAGTATGCCAGCGAGGGAGAGTCACTCGAAAGAACGTGAGGATCCCTGCAGTCAATGAAAGAGCTGATTTCGGATGGCCCAATTGCGTTGCGCGTTCTGATGGATGTTAATAAAGCCGTGGATGAAAACTGTGGCATTCGGAAGGCCATGTTTCTTAGGAGGACGGTGCACCGGCTCATACGAGTAATTTGATTCAATAATTGGCTCTTAGACAACATCAATATGTTTTGATTCAAGGAATTCTAATTTCCCAACAGCCCAGATTTAAATCCCTTAGACTACTACATAATTAAAAGAGTCACAAACAAGTCTCAGCATCCTAATATGACGTCATTAAGGACCGCTATTGAGGCAACATTCGTCAGCATGGACAGCGCTATATTACAACGTGCGAGCGAACACTTCAGACCGAGAATAAAGCCGTTCAATTCAAGCTAATGAGATCGAATAATTGTGCTCTGCAGGGATCCCCCAAGTGCTATAAAAGGATTTTTTGTTATATTTAATTTTTCATTAAAAACATTTTGTTTAAAAAAATTGTTCGATTTGTTTGGATTTTGATGATGCACCCTATAGTTTAAGAGACCGAGATGAATCGATGAAAGCACCAGACTATTATGAAGCAAGTGTTGCAACTTTTTATGAACTAGCGATATATATTGAAGCAGTCACAAGAGAGAACTCGAATCAATGGAAATTGGCAATTAAGGAGGAATTTGATGTTCATATAAAAAAATAATACAATAATGGATCCTGATTTCCTTGTCTAAAAATCATAATAATGTAATAGGTTGGAAGTCGATTTTCAAAGTTAAAGAAAATTCCGCAGGAAGTGATATTCGTTTTAAACCTCGTCTATGTGTAAAAGGTTTCTCGCAAAAAGCTGGACTTAATTATATGGAAATCTTTTCTTCTATGATTTGCTATGACTCCATTTGCTTACTTTTTAAATTCATAGTCGCGTGAAAATTTAGAAGTAGGTTCCAGTTTGATATAAAGATTTGTTAATGGAGTTTTAAGAAATTTATAAGCAAATATCAGAAAGAATCGAGACAAATGATAAAAATATAGTTTGCAAACTAAACAAGCTCTATAAGGTCTTGAACACGCAGCGAGATGTTGAAATAGGCAATTCCAAAATTCTTTCGAAAATTTAATTTTCAACGGAATGACGCGGAT